ATTCGTGCAAATCTGCGATAGAGAGCAAAGTAGTACATAGGCATCGCAGTCACATGTCGATAACCTCTATTTCGGAAAGTCCGGCGACATGATAAAGATTAACACGGGTATTTATCGGGACAATCAGCGCTCGCGTTCCAAATGTTGCTGCTGTCCTTCACATGCATCTAGAAAATTTTGATGAGTTGAAAACGAATGCAACGAAAATTTCTCGCGAGGAAAAATGACAGAGAGAGGGGGAGAGAGAGAGAGAGAGAGAGAGAGAGAGAGAGAGAGAGAGAGAGAGAGAGAGAGAGAGAAAGGAGAGATCGTCATTGATCGTCGTGGAGGTGTACACACACGATACAGATCGGCGCGCAAAGTCGACACTGGTGTAGACGTCTGTCCGACTGGTCGATTGCGTCAGGCATGATTGTTTGCGAATTCGCTTTTTCGGCCGGGTGCGATTATGTAACACGACGTGGCGTAAATTCCCGTGTCGTTCTCTTCCGCTTTTGCCGGGCCTTGCTCTTACAGCCCTTTATCGCGGTAGTACAATAATTCTAGTAGGATAATTCTTCCGATCCGATAGTTAATTCCGATATGAAACGACGCATAGAAATAATCGGCAAAACTCCATTTCCGACGCGAACGAATCGATGAGCTATCGTGGCAGCTATTTGGTGTAGAGCTATATAACAAGTTCTTCTGCGTTCTCGCGTAAAAATGTGTCACACTTTGACGGAGAAAAAGGAAGAAACAGAGAAAGAAAGAAAGATAGAAAGAGAGGAAAGAGAGCAGATTTGTTTCTTCAGAGATTTTTTAACAACCGATCATTTTCTCTACGGTGTTGCTGATGAGAGCGCATATTCAGAGTCAGAGTGCCTTAAATAGATAGGGGCCGTTTCGGGGCAACGTTATACCACCTATCACGATTCACACGTCGCGAGCCAAATATAATGGCGCGTACTCGGCGAAATTCTATCACGATTCTGTGTTTTTCGATCGAGTGCCGTCTAATCTCACGGCCGGCGAGAATTGCGCTCGTAAAGTCAACAACCTCCTCGATAAATATCGGTGATAACGAAAATCAAATTACGCACGCACGCGCTCCGTTCGTCGTCATTGTGCACGTTATTCGTCATATATGCATTTATATTTTTCATCGCAATTAGCTTAACAATTTTAGGATCGATTTCGAATTGTGGCAAAGTAAGCAAGAAGTCGCTCGGTTATTGGAATGCCTACGTGTTGAACAGTCGAGCGCTCATAATTATGATAATTGTATTGTAACTTGTACAATAACTTAATAGCGCCAGAGTTAGTACTTTATCGTAAGAAATTGAAAATTCGGCCAGCCGGCCAGTGGAAAGAAATATTTGAAGTCGAGCTGTGTCGACAATCGGACGTCGGTTTCCTCTTCGGCTGAAGACCGGCTTTGGCTACGGTATTGCACGTGGCACAATTTGATCGTCCCTGAAACGGCGTTGCCGCCAGCATGGTGGACGTCACACACATACACACTAGCGGGAAACTTTTCGGCCAAGTGTTTATTATCGCGTTCTCTCTCTCTCTCTCTCTCTCTCTCTCACAATGTTTACTTATCGTCTTATCGTCTGATCGACATTCTTCAATCGGAAAAACCGAACAATGTGGCTGCTCGATAAGCGTGATCGTGAGAAAGTATTACGCGTGCGTAATTTTTTGAAATATATGTCTGGGATAAAAAATTAGCGATTTATTTTGTGATTTCTCACGGAAAAATTTCGCCTGAATTTTCGTGGGAAGCTTCAATTTTAACATCATGGAAAAGTTTCGATAGATTTAAAAGAAAAGTGTCGTGAGATTCGTAGATATTTTCTACTCATTGTCTCTCTTTCTTTCTGTTTTTCCTTCTTTCCTTCCTTCCTTCCTTCCTTCCTTCCTCCCTTTCTTCCTTCCTTTCTTCCTTCCTTTCTTTCTTCCTTTCTTCCTTCCTTTCTTCCTTCCTTTCTTCCTTCCTTTCTTCCTTCCTTTCTTCCTTCCTTTCTTCCTCCCTTTCTTCCTTCCTTCCTTCCTTCCTTCCTTCCTTCCTTCCTTCCTTCCTTTCTTCCTTCCTTCCTTCCTTCCTCCCTTCGTTCTTTCTTTCTTTCTTTCCTTTTTTTCCTTCTCTCTTTCTCCTATTCTCTCTTTCTCTTTTTTTCATCTATCCTCTTGTACATAATTTATATAGATTCTACAATTATAATTTTTCCAGTATATCTCAGAAAGAAACAATTTTCGCGCGTCTTTTCTCTTTCTTTTTTTCTTTTATTCTTATTATAGACTGTGGGTATGAAAATCGTGCAGAGAAGAAAAAGATACTGGAGTCTTTTTACGGCGCGCACAACGATCTCATTGTACTTGTGACTTCAATAAGAATTTACCGAAAATGACTGCGACCCGGTAGTGGTGAGACGGGAGAAGGGACATATCGCGTACGTGACTTCAAGAATGACAGTCCGTGAAACGAAAACGTAACGTGACTCATACCGAGATAGGATAATAAAAACAGGACCGTGACCAAGACTTTCTCCCGCCGTGAGCGCACACCATGTAATACTCGCGTATTCGCACTCGACTCATCACTCAAAATCACCGGTTGTGATTTTGTGAGTCTTGCTGCTAATCACGTCGAATGTGTACCTTCGCACAGCTCGTATAGTCGATTTTTCTCTTGACTGTGCCCATCGGACCGATACTTTTCTGGTGGGTATCTGCGAGATACAACGTGGCGTACCGTACCCGGCAATGTTGCCGAATCGAGTTTCCAATTTGTAATGAAGCCTACTGAAAGAATGTCGAAATTTGTGCAATGTCTATTTTATATATATATATAGCTAGATAAGTTAGTTACAAGTAAAGATTGAACAACTTCTTTTACATTTCGAGGAGGAGTTAAAGATTCTTCGGCGAATCACTCAATTTCTCCTCTTCAATTTCACCGCTCTATCACTCAACGTTCTGTCAAGCGACCGACTCCCTGGCGCCTGACTCGGGGCGAGTTATTGTTAGAAAGTACACTACATACAAAGTGTGCGAAATAATGCGAAATTATGCGAAATTACACGAAATACACGATGAGACTTGTAGTTTGGCGATATTTAGGAGGATAGAGGAGAGGAAAGAAACATCCGCGAGACGAGAAAGCTTATGCCCGATGGCGCTGATGCGCGCACCCACGTGGAGCTGTTCTCGCTGCCAGGTGTATACGCGTGCGTACACGCGTCTCCGCGCGACGCGCGGACTACTTCGAGACAAAAATAGTGCAGCGCGCCGCGTGCCGGCGACGCCGTTGGGACGTTGAAAATAGCGCGGGGAAATAGACCATATACGTACGCGTATGGCTGCTTTACTACGGAGCGAGTCCGCCGCGCAGCGGAAACCGACGATAAATAAATAGGCGGAAGAAGCGAGGGCGAAGGTAGAAAGAAGTTCTCCAGCGAGCCCGCGCGCGGCGCGCATGCGGCGTGCAACGAGGCGAGGATTCGTAATCTGTTATGAATATTTGACGAAACTAACCGACGGGAAACTAGCAAAGGAGACGGGGACACTCGTAAATAGATTGTCTTGATAAGAGGACTAGCGCGCGTGAGTTTGCAAGAAAAAATTTCCGTCGCCAGAGAAACGAATCGTCACCGGAGAAATGAATGGAATTGATGGGGATTGCGCTGGGAGAAATGATCGTCATCGCGAGTGCGATAATTGAAAGAAGAAACAGCAAACAACAAGTTCGTGACTCGGATCGAAAATTCGGCTGCCTCGGCTCCGTCCAGCGATCATCTCGACCGAGCGAACAGGGATACACGTGGGATTCGCGTGACGGTGTAAAAATCTACACCGTGCGAGCATTTACCTGCCGCACACGACATACATACGTACGTGCGTGCGCAACGCATCGCTATATAGTTACGTGATATTTTTCTAAGTGTGCCTCCTTATGTAATTTTTCATTACGTAAACGCATGACGACAGGCGCGCAATTACATCCGAAATTCCTTTCTTGTTGAGAGACGCAATTATAAGGTAGCGACGAGGTACGATCGAGGTTTTCTGACAGACGTGTCGCGTCGAGTCGATTGAAAATTTGCATTCTAACGAGAAAATCAGTTGATAATCAAAATACAAAAACGCAAAAACTCGTTCGTTACACGCAATAAGAGGGAAAGAGGGAGGAGAATTATTGTCGAAGATTGAAAAATTTTGTAACGTTTTCACGTTTCAACTTTACTGCGTTTTCAAGCTTATCATGCGCATCATCGAAGATTGTCATTGTGTGGTAGAAAATCTATTTTACATCATGAAACTGTTTTCGCTTTCAGAGAGAAACATGTCCAAAGAAACGTCACTTTCGATCGTGCATTCGCAGACGCAATGATGAATTCCCTAATTAAAAATATACATGTAAATCTCACCTCCTTCTCAACCTCCTCCTCAGTGCCTCCGGACGCTGCGCTCGAGTTCGGGCTGGTCGCGAGTTTGTTTTTCCCGCCAATTAAAGCCTCGCGAATACGTGGAGCGCATCCAGCCGAAACTTTCCACGCCCGTCGCGTCCGCGCGTTCTTCGCCCCACCGCTTCTAAATCTCCTAATAGCGATCGTCATCATCGTACTCGTCGCCACGCACGCACGCACGCACGCACGCACCCACCGCTGTTCGCGCATTACCGGGTCTCCTCGTATCAAGCAAACAAAACCCGCTCGCC